GTAATTTAACAAATCATAATCGTTATAATCCCTATAGAGACAAAGAAAAAGTTGACCGTGATAATTTGTTAATTACTTGGCTTATCGTAGATCAGCAACCTTTTACAGTTGTTGATAATATTTATTTTGTAAATTGGATTAGAAAACTTGATCCACGTTATACTTTACCAACACGTCAAGCCACAAAGCAAATGATTATAGATGAATTTAATTATCGACGAGAAAGAATTCATCTTGATCTAGCAAAAATTCCTGGAAAGGTTTCATTAACTGCGGACATGTGGACAGATATTAATAAAGAGGCATTCTTAGGATTAACAATTCATTACCTTGATGATAATTGGAAACTTTGTGGATTTTTACTTGATATTATTCCATTTAAAGTTCGTCATACAGGGATTAATATGGCACAAGCGATTACTAATATATTAGAAGAATTTAATCTTCACAACAAATGTGTAGCCCTTACAACAGATAACGCATCATCAATGATTGCATGTAGTCGTATTTTAGCTAGTGAAATTGAAAAAGAATTTAATAACTTGTCATTTTCTCACTATCGCTGCGCCACTCACGTGTTGAATTTAGCAGCTAAACAGGGCCTCGAACTAGTTTCTAGCTCAATAGAGAAAGTTCGAAATTTGATGCTTAAAATTAAACATTCAACATTATTATGTACTGAATTGGAAGGTTTATGTGAAATCAAAAAAATTAAATATTTAAAGCCTGAAATCGATATTGATATCAGGTGGAATTCGACACATGACATGCTAAAAAAATATGAAAAAATGGAAGTTGCGTTACTATTATTATCAACGACATGTCCAGCAATTAAAGAATTACTTCCAAACGATGATGATAAAAAGCAAATCCAGGTATATATTTTAAATAAGAATTATTTATTATCGTTATTAGAAAATATTAACTTTAATTTATAAATTTAAAGGATACTCTTTTATTATTGGAACCATTAAAAGTTACAACTGAGTATCTTTCGTCGGCTTCATATCCTACTCTTGCTGACGTCCGATTTTACTTTAATGAAATTCAAATGAATCTTGATTTTTATATTGGGCAAAATAATTTTACACAATCTGAAATTGCCGCTTCTATCTTTCAGAAAATTGATGAATATTCATCATTAATGGATGCAACATCAGTAATATCAACTATCCTTGATCCTCGTACGAAGTTAAATGCATTTCATAATAATGAAATTCAAGATGCAAAACAACAAGTACTCAGGTTGATGGATCACTATCAAAATGAATCATTTGAATCATTTACTGCAATACTAGCAAAACCTTCTACTAATAATTCCAAAAAAACACGGGAATATTTTCGTGGACTTAGAAATCAAGCATATGCGCAGCCAAGTTTTTTACAAAACAAGTCTCCAACTCAAAAAAATCATACAGAGTTGGAAATATACCTTGCAGAACCGGTTGACGAAGAGAATGATGATCCAGTTTTATACTGGAAAACTAGTTGTCATAAATTTCCGATTTTATCGAGAATGGCACATGATTTCCTGTCCATACAAGCAACAAGTGTTGCAAGTGAGCGAATGTTTTCAATGGCTGGCCATACTATATCAAAAACAAGAAATAGAATACACCCGGAAACTGCCAGAGCATCCTTGTGTGTCAAAAGTTGGATTCTAAATGGAATTGGTGATCAATAACGATAGGTGTACCGGTTTGACATAATGATAAAATATAATTACAGTTTAACCTCCTCACATATAAGGACATCCTATGAAAATTCTTTTTATAAGCAAATTATGATAAATGTAGAAAGAAAACCTTTATACGATTACAACTTTTATAAGCACATTTATAAGCACACTTTTAAGTACTCTTTAAAAAAAGTTATGATCCCAATAGTGTATTGTAGAAAGGTTAGACTGTAAATTAATAAATAGTAAAAAAAACAATTTATTGTTATAAGACTGTAATAAATATGCATAAC